GTGCAGGTTTTTATTTCCGCTATTTGTGAGTAGAGTGTACATTTTTTTTATATCACGGAATATTACTGTGGGTTCCATCACCGTTTAGGTGATAGAGTTTTATGTCGGGGACACACTTAAACTACACAGTCCGTGGCGACAGCATGCGCGCCGACTCCTTTGGCTACACCGTTTTGTGTTGTTGTTGTTGTTGTTGTGACGGTGGTGATGGTAGTGGTAGCAGTAGTACTGGTATTCGATGGGTTATGTGGTAGCTGTTACACTGGCCACATTTACTTCTCAGTACAGATTAAGGCTACCCATTTTTGTCTGGGTGGACACGGCTGCCAAGCTCAATTTAACAACAATATTTCGTCAGGCGATGACTTCCCCATACTTCGTAGAGGATGATATGATTGTCACTGGGGGGGGGGGGGGGGGGATTTGAGGGGGATTGATGCCAGACACTGTTAACTGAGAGACCTTAAAACATATTTTAACATTTCTCATTTCCTAACTATTTCTTTTTTAACAATGTCGCCACATAATATTGTTTCAATCATTCGGAGAGGGAGATATAATTGAGCAGATGCTTGAGTCTTTGGTAGCGTAGTTGTCTATTTTGCGTGTTACGTGGGTGACTGGCGATCAGTCCCCCGCTGGGTGATAAAATTTTGTGTTTTGTCCTCCAACTAAGCGCCTGGCACATTTTTGTTGCGGTCTTCTTTCCGCTCGATTTCGGGGTTTACAGCTAGCCTGCGATAGCGGCGACGAGATGTTGGTCATGTCATGCGTAATCTTTGTTCGCCTTTGAGAGGGCGGTTGGAACGTTGTGTTGTGGTTTACAACTAGGCTGCGATATCGGAAACAAACTCTTCAGTCTTAGGTAGTATATTTGTACGTATTCCTCCCTTCACGTGGTTGACCGGTGTTTAATTACCCACTAGGTGATAATTTTTCTTTTTCCCTCAAGAGGGCTGTTGGCATGTTGTGTTGTGATTTACAGCTAGGCTGCGATATTTGCACCTTTCGCCCAAATCATCATATTTTAGTAAAGTCCTATTTATCCCCCCCGTGACGCTTCCCTCGTTAATAAACTATTTGTAGATGACAGAAGCTGTTAACTAAGACTGCTTACAGTCCAGTTTACTTTGGGTGGACACGGATGCCAAGGTCATTTAACATTCGTCCCTTCGGAGAGGGAAGATGACGGGTGGAAGTTTGTATTTGTGAGTATAGACCGGACTATTACTGTGGGTTCCATCACTGGTTAGGTGAAGGAGTTTTTTTTTTCTTTTTTTCTTTTTCTTTGTTGGAAGCTCAGTTACACTAAACAGTCTGTGACAACATCATGCAGCGCTAACCCCTCTGGCTACACCGACCTGCACAGACAGTAGTGACTGTTTTTTTGTTTTAGCTCTGACGGTGGTGGTGGTAGTGGTAGCAGTAGTACTGGTACTGGATGGGTGATATTGTAGCTGCTACACTGGCCACTTTTACTTCTCAATACACATTAATGCTATCCATCTGTCTCTGGGTGGACACGGATGCAAAGCTCAGTTCAGTTACAATATTTCGTCAGATGATGACTTTCCCATCCTTCGGCGAGGATTATATGATTAGTGGGGGGAAGGGGCGGGGGGGGGGGGGTGATAGCAGACACTGTTAAATGAGAGACCTTAAAACATAATTTATAAGTTATCACTTCTGAACTATTTCTATTTTAATAAATTCGCCAAGTGATGATTTTTTTTATTCCTTCGGAGTGGGAGATATTATTGGCGAGGGGTGGGGGGGGGGGGGAGTGGTTATGCCAGACACTGTTACCTAAGAAAGCTTAACACATTATTTTCAAGTTCTCATTTCCTAACTATTTCTATTTTAATACTTTCGCAAGGGATGATTGTTTCAATCCTTCGGAGAGGGAGATATGACTGGGTGGAGGGGAGAGGGACGGGGGTTGAGGGTTATGACAGACACTGTTAGTTGGGAGCTACTTTTTTTTCTTTTCCATTTCGACATTCGGGGCCACAGCAACGCGTGGCAGGGCACAGCTAGTTATTATATAAATTTAAATAAAATCCTTCCTAAAAAAATGAGAATGGAAGACTGTTTATGAACCAGTACTACTAAAAGATACGAGGCTAGATTAAATAATATATGTAACAGAGATTCAGTTGTGGACCTGGCAAGGAGCGATGTATCTGAGGAAGAGAACGCCGTGTGTACAATGAGTGTGCTACAGGAACAGTTAGCGTCTACACGTTGAGAAACTTCCTGCCCGGCGCTCTAACGTAATTCATACCCAGTCGGACGTCGGGTGAAAGACCCCATGTGTGTCCGGTCTCAGGTTTTAGCCGGGGCATGGCAGAAATGCGGCATAGTCTCAAGATTAACGGTCTACGTGGCACCGAGGATGAAGGGCTCACGATACTGAGCCACATGAGCTATGCTCGAGTGCTTCTGGTTAAAGACATTTCCTACTGGAGACAGGACATCTATGGGTATGCCTGGTGTGCAATGATGTCTGCTGTATAGTACGGGAAAGAACACTTGGTGTGATCGGTTTGATAACGAGTTATTATTTGCAAAATACAATGTAGAAGAAGCGTTATCTATTTTACAATAACATGCAGGTGTTCGACATGTTGAGCAGCCCTATAGGTTGGCTGCTGCCCCTTCTATGGATGTTGAGCGGCCTTATGATAAAGCGGACGTGGTAAAAGTTATCTGTGATAAAAAAGACATTGTAATGAACAGACATAAAATCTATACATGGAAAGACTCATTCAACACGGGTAAACAGCGGTTCTGGAAAATATGCAACGATAAAGTGGAAACATGGAAGGACTTTTAATCAGGTCACAACTGATTCTATTAGCGTGTAGACTCCCTCTTGGCTAGAAGGAGACGGAACACGCGTGGGACTACTCCAAGTGTACTGATGTCAGTTCTTGATTGATTGATGTATTTATTATTTTACAATATAATATATAAAAGACTTCAAAGTTAAAAGTTTTCTCACACTGTCTAACTGTAACTCCAAATCGACTACATCCTTGGCGTCCTTCTCTGCATCTTCCTGGCTGGCGTTAAGCGCAATGGCTGTTTCAGCTAAGTATTTCTGGTATGCCATGATACTTGGATCACTCCGGTTTTTAAGGAAAGACTCCTGATTCATTCCTAGTTTGCCTTCAGAGAGCTAGAAGAGATTAAAAGTTTTTAGATTACCATAACCTCTATGTGGCTTCCGGTGTCCCATTTTGGGTCGAAGAGAAAAAACCTATTTCCCAACAAGCAGGTCGTAAGAGGTGACTAATAATGGGAGCTTCCTTCAAAGCTAGAGTATATATGCCTTAGAGGCGAGGACCTAGCAGTCCACATACAAATGAGGCTTATCTATAACACGGATGAGCACGCTAAACTCAAGCTCTGGACCAAGACTAAAGTCAGGAAGTGGACAAACAACAGAATCTTCCTTCGGAGTTTACGAGAAAAAGAAAAAAGAAGATGACCATAATCTGTGTGTGGGGTTCCCAGGCCTCATTGTAAGGCTGGGAGCAGGGGGAATGATTCACCACCACTAACAAGAATGTGGAAAAAAAAATACTTTTTAAAATCTATTCCCTTGAAAGTCTGGGCACATCTGTAGGATAGGTGAGCAATCAACACACTGCACAAATAGATCAAATCAGTCAAACGGATGTCCACGCAAAACTAAGCGTGGAACAAGACCAAAGTCTAGAAGTGAACGAACCACCAGAGCTTTCAGGCGAAGTTAACAGTCAGCGAAGACGAAGAGTATCCTTTTGTGTAGTTGCTATTTGAAAAGGAAAGACGACAAGGAAAGGAGCTGGGCAATGTAAAACATATTTAGTAAACTTTGAAATTTTGATATTGTGATGGTCAGCGCTGTGGCTAAGTCGACGCGAACGCTTCGTATGCCGGGATGCCGGGTTCGAACCCAGCTGCGGGCCATGTGCCTTGCGTTGGTTTCGACAGTGGTATCAAGAAAGCTGACCGTAGGGAAAGCAATGGCAAACTACTGGACTTAAATTTGCCTTTAAAAACCACACAGCAGCCAGGGACATTCATAAACATTACGTGTCACTGAGTTGTTTATTTCGTTCATCAATATATATATATATTAGGGCTGTACCGAATAGTGATTTTCACTATTCGGCCGAATACGAATAGCTGGACCAACTATTCGGCCGAGTACGAATACGAATAGTGAATCATCATCATCATGTGCTTTGCCGGCTGGCATGGGCGATTATGCCCGGCCACAATCTGCGATCTCCTGCAGCACGTATTAGTATGTGTGCTGACACACCTCCATGAAAAACCTTCGTTCCATGTTGTCAGCATTAGGCCAGCTTTTTGTCTCACTGAAGGTATTTCCAGCTGTACTAAATATGAAAATACGACAAATACAGAGAGTCAAAATGAAAACCCGCAAGGCGAAACATCAAAAACAAAAATAACGCCGACGAAGAAAACAATGCCGTCCTTACAAGTCGCCCAGCCCCCCCCCCCCCCCCCCCGCGAGCTCACGAAACCAGACGCCGGGCGGCTAACGCCAGAAGATCAAACAACAAAGACAATCAAGAAACCGAACGTCGATCAAAACATTCAGCCGCTGCCGTTTCCACGGGACGACGAAAGAACAGATACGACACCCATAAATGATGACGAACTTCCGTTACTTCAAAGAATCAACGAAGAGGACACTCCACTCTAAGAAATCAAGCCGACAACACTAGAACACTTGCTTTTCTGCCCCTCTTATATTTTTAAGTGTTGCATTTTGTTTCTACAGCAACACACCTAAAAACACTATACTCGCAACACATACAAGATGGAAATAAAGGGGCACTTGGTACGCTCGTAGGTGGTGCACAAAGATAACGCTTCACAGCATAAACCAAGGTGGGAAGTCTTGATGTTTTTTTTTCCACCAGTCCAGAAACGGTTGTGAGGTAGCCACTATTCGTATTCGGCCCGACCGCAACTATTCG